GATTTAGGAATCCTTTTACCATTGGTATTCCTGCCCAGAGGAATTCAGTTGCAGAGGGGGAAGTACGAGCTCTCATTTCGCACAGCCCACAGGCGGGTCAGCCGGGCTCTGACCTTTGTGCTTCGCATACTCTGGCTTCCGCAATTCTCTTGGCAGTTTCATCGGTTTCCATAAATCCTTTCACTGCTTTCCTGCCAAAGTTCATTTATTTCAGGGTTTTTTTTCTAAAATTTATTTACAGTGCTCTCTGCCCTGTAAATACACAGGCTCACCCACCTGAGACAGCAGCTGCCTCCCGCCTGCTACAGGTCAGATCCAGACCTCCCATTTTGCCCAGTTCAGCCACCCAGAACCAAGAGCTGCATTAAGGAAATTAAGGAGCTCTTCTTATGCTACAGGGCATAATTAATTCCATTTATTTCATCCCCTAGTTCTACTTTTACCTGTCCTTAAGGTACCACAAGACAGTCAGTGACACCAGGATGGCCAGTGTTGCTGCTGTGATTTTACGGAAGCTCATCTTCCCTTGGAAATCCCGATAGAGCTGATGCTGGTGACTACTGGTTATCCTACCTTGCCTCTGGGGAAAGCTTAGTGTCTTAAAAGCAAGGCATCAAAATAAAGATCAAGGCAGGAAGCAGCTGTAGTTTGAGATCACGAACGTAAAACAAGTTAAAAATCCATACGTCAGGTTCCCCGTGCTGCCTGTGAAGTCCTTCACCGGTGTCTGGGCTGGTCCCATCGGCACCGAGGCTCCCAATTCCTGGAGAGGAGGAAAGGGCAGCCCCACACTGTACGCTTCAGCCTGGAGAAATAAGCTGTTTATAAAGCAAAGTGCAGAGTGTCTGACTCCCGTCCTTTCATCTCCCATCAGAAACAGGTACACAAGCTCTGCAGCAGACTGACCGAGTGCCCTCGAGCTCCTTCTTCATCCAGAGTCTCCCGGTTTAAATCCCATTTCTGGCCCACCCCATTGAGCGGTTCCAAAGCTCTGCCAGACTCGCAGAGGAGATTTGCCAAGCTGCACGGACCGTGTCTGCAGCACATCTTGCAATGCCGTCACCCTGTCATCGCCTCTCTCCTAACGGCTGACAGTGCCAAGCTGCTCGCTGAGGTCTACCTGCTCGGTCAGAAGCTGGTGCTTCTCTGCTGGAGATACCGCTCTGGACACAGGTACACCACAGCATGGAGACACGCAATAACCAGGTAATGTTCTCGGATTTGGAGGTGAGGATCAGGAAGCTTCTTTGGAAAGAACAGAAATGGAACAAAGTCACCTAAAACTTAATGAATAGAGGGCTGGAACACCCCTCCTATGAGGAAAGGCTGAGAGAGTTGGGGTTGTTCAGCCTGGAGAAGAGAAGGCTCCAGGGAGACCTTATTGTGGCCTTCCAGTACTTAAAGGGGGCTTGTAAGAAAGATGGGCAGAGACTTTTTAGCAGGGCCTGTTGCAACAGGACAAGGGGGAATGGTTTTAAATCTGAAAGATTCAGACTAGATATAAGGAAGAAGTTCTTTACGATGAGGGTGGTGAAACCCTGGCACAGGTTGCCCAGAGAGGTGGTAGGTGCCCCATCCCTGGGAACATTCCAGGTCAGGGTGGTCGGGGCTCTGAGCAACCTGATCTAGTTGAAGATGTCCCTGCCCATGGCAGTGGGGTTGGACTAGATGACCTTGAAAGGTCCCTTCCAACCCAAACTTTCTATGATTCTAACAGCAGGAGACTTACAAACTCAAACAGACACAGAGTTAAGTTTCAAATACGTTAATCTGCTCACCTTTGCCAGGCGTATTGGCTACGGAAAAGGTTGCTCCTGTCCTGCTCTATATCCATGGAGCCTCAGCAATATCTTGGTCACAGAAATAGAATAGAATCATTAAGGTTGGAAAAGACCTTTAAGATAGAGTCCAACCGTCAACCCAACACCACCATGCCCACTAAACCATGTCCCTAAGCGCCACATCCACACGTCTTTTAAATACCCCCAGGGATGGTGACTCCACCACTTCCCTGGGCAGCCTGTTCCAAGGCTTGACCACTCTTTTGGTAAAGAACCTTTTCCTAATATGTCGCACAGAGCTCTCAAGATACTTACTGCTACATGATAGCACCTTGTTCCCACCCTGACTTCGGCTAGAACACGCCTGCATGGGTCAGTCTGGACAACTATGGGTGTCTGAAAGGGCACGAGCTGGCGATGATTAGCAGGAGATACCACCGGAGAAGCCAGCAGCGACCAGCAGCACTAGAACACAAGACCTCAGGCAGGGGCGAATGCAGTTGGGCACTGCGAACCCCAGCTGCTGTTGCAGCGTTGGTACCCAAACCTAAAACGGGCAAATAAAAAATCCCCAGTATTGTCCAGCCGTGGCTTTGCTGCTAGGGAACTCCAGCTGAAACCTGGTTCTTGAGACCGCTCCCCAGGTAGTGGCGCATCTTCCTACAAAGCAGCATTTGCTGTTGTATTTTTAGTGCCTTCCGCGGGCTGAGCGTCAACGAGGCCAAAGACCTTCGCTGAACACGGGGGCTTGAGGTTTCCAAAGTTCCACAGCAACGCTGATCCGTCTGCGTCGCCTACAAGTGTGTTCTGATTACCTGTCAGGATGTAGTGGCATACAACTGTTGTTCCCTACAGTAGCCAAGATAAAGCACCCAGCTGGCCCTGGGGCAACAGAGCCGATGCGGTATCGGGATAAGTACAACCTCGTGCCTCATTTTCCCCGTTTGGTCAGTATGAGGTCAGCGCTTTTCTGTGGTCATCGAGAGCATCACGAGACATGCGGTCACCTCTCCTTACACCCCCGCCCCAGCGCAGCTCTGGAGCCACATTAAACTCTGGTTCTGCAAAGCACGTTCTCCCTTGACTTTTTTTTTTGCTGCAACTAAATGGTAGGGTGAAAGGATCAAAAGGCACTAACTAGAGGCCAATACAGCTTTGTGAAAAGTAAAATAAATGGAGATTAAGCCTGTGCGAGACTGAAACATTGCCCTGGAAGCAGGATGCCACAGGCTGGGAAAAGGATTAGGGCTCTGCAGAAGAGCCACCACTGAGAAAATGAGTCACTGCTTTAAGACTTGTGATCCTGGTGGTCCCACAGCGAACCTGGGGGCTTCCTGGTCATATCCCTGGAGAACTGGGCTGTGCAGCCTGCCACGGGTCCGTGGAGATGGGCCTCGGACTGAAACACATCCCACAGGGCAGAGCTTCGTGTCTGCCGGTTCAGCCAGCCTGCCGAGTCCCCATACATCAAGGCAGCGTGCTGGAAATATGGAAACTGCTCAAGTTCAAGGAGGTCTCTGGGCTAAACAGGCACCATCTCATCCCAGAGCGCTACTCCTGCATGGCTTCAGGTTTTCACCAGCACAGAAACAGCCTGCACCTCCGAAACAGAAAACATTATCTGCTTTCTGGATGTTACACACACAAAACAGAGACAGAGGCTTAAACCCAGAGTATTCGGTGGGGGGCTGCAGGGTCAGGGATACCCCACACTTATCTGGGGCTGGAACCAGACTTGTGTTGGGTCAGGGCTTCCGTCATGGAAAGTTTTACGTAGTGCAAGTTACACTTTCGAAAGCTGGTCTCATTACTTCAGCCAGCGTCTTGTGCGAGCGATGAAGCTTTAGGAAGCTTTAGCTTTGTCTGCCATTCTCTAACCAAACAGCAAAGCAAGTATTTACCCAATTACATGGTGGAGTTATTTTGTACCGAGCAAAACCCACAACAGCAAAACTATTTTGACACAGGCATGCAAGCCCAGGAAAAATCTGTGTTGCATTAAGCGCTGCTGCAGGATCAGTTTGGTGTATGATGAAGGTTACCAGAGGCTGAAGGTCCAAAGCGGTACCATTAGCTTCCATGGTTGTGAAGCCTTAACCCAAATAAGTGACCCCTCTCATCCCCCAGCCCATCACTCACCCTGGATGAGCTCCCCAAAGAGACGATCCCCCAACAACGCCCCCTGCCACCAGCCTGACTCCCTCACGCTGCTCCAGCCTCAAAACCTGTAGGAGCCACAACCGGGACATGCACAGAGGTGGAAAGCAGCAGGGGTAGAGACACCCAGATAGCAAGAAGGAGCAGCAGCCAGGACACTCTCCCTCTGCTTCCCATGACCACCCAGGAGAAGACAACATGTTTAAGCTGCAGGTGAGCATCAACCAGAGCTTTCAGAAGAACCATCTCCCCAGCCTCAGAGGAGATGCCTCACTACCACGCTGGTGCTCTATTTGGGCAAGTATTTCTGCACATCCTTGCAAATACAAATACAAACCCAACACACCCCCAGTAGCTGCTGGGAGCCAGAGCAGCCAACTCAGAGCATCCGACTACACAGGTCACGGCCAGGTGGAAGGTGTTTCCTATAGCTGGAAGTCAGGATACTGCTGTGACTCTGAAGCAGAGCTTTGTCCTCCCATCTCAGGGAACTCGCCTCCAGTCACAGCTGCTATTCATGTCCCGGTGCCAGCCAGCACCAGCGAGGACCAGTAGCTGCTGGGAGCCAGAGCAGCCAACTCAGAGCATCCGACTACACAGGTCACGGCCAGGTGGAAGGTGTTTCCTATAGCTGGAAGTCAGGATACTGCTGTGACTCTGAAGCAGAGCTTTGTCCTCCCATCTCAGGGAACTCGCCTCCAGTCACAGCTGCTATTCATGTCCCGGTGCCAGCCAGCACCAGCGAGGACACAAGGGTGCACAGGAAAAGGGAGGAGCTGGGAGCTCCTGCCGAGGCAGAGCCAGTCAGGATCAGAAAGTCTTCATGGTGGGGTGGACATCAGACCCCAGGAACCTGCACTGGTCAGCACTGGTCATCTGGAAAAGGGACACTAGTGAGGTGGCAACATTTACTGAAAACATCAGTTATGCAAGGGTAGAAACAAGGACAAGGAGAGAATATTTCAGGTTTATTTGCAGCCAAGCAGCTGGGCAGAGGCAGGACAGTATCCAGAGCAAGGCTGACAGCACGCCCCCCACCTCACCTACCCAGCAGACTCTCACCTGCTTCCACCCAGGAAGACACTACGTTTCTTGGAATCACCACCCCGATGTCAAGCTCTGATCCACCCATCTTACGGGGATGAGGGGAAGACTGGGAAAGCCAGGAAGGTGCTCAAGATGGGGGCACCCACAGGCCCAGCGGAGCTGCGTAACTCAGACCAAGCTCCTTCAGCCCGGACAAGCAGCAGCCCCAAAGAGCTGCCCTGTGCAGCCCCCTGCAAGCCAACATGGTGGCCGCGTTTGTAATACTGATAGAGACGACCTGCTCGCTGCCTCGCCCAGCTCGAGATGGGGGAAGCGACACTATCCTGAGTGGGGTCAGCCCAGGGATGAAGGAGCCACGCTGCTGCCCAACAGCACGCCATGGAGAACCTGCTGCGGGACAGGGTGGGCACCTGGTCTGTAGAGCAGCTCGTGAACCTCACAGGTCAGATACAGACGTAGCACCGGCTCAACACGTCCCCGATCCAAGGGGGGAAGCAAACTGGGACTGTATGCCTGTTCCCAGCCACCACGCTGGTGCCTGCTGACGGCCCTTACTGGTTTTAATGATAGCCTCCCTTGTCTCGAGGCAGACCTGACAGCAGACCTTCTTATCTAGTGGCCGCCTACCAGAGGAAAGGGCTGTCCTGCTCCCACCACGGCACACGCCAGGCAGTGCAGGAAGCCGGGAGGGCAGAAGACGAGCACTGGAGCCGGTGCCAAGGACGGGGCAGGAGCTGGGGTGGAGGGAAGCGGGGCCGCCCCTCACAGGTCACTGCCCTCGGCCACAAAAATGCCAGACGTCCTGTGTTCAACCGGAGTCAAGCACTGGGTCTCAAGTGGCCTCTCGAGCTTCCAGAGTCCCTATTTTGGGGACGTGCATTGTGTTTGAGACATGCCCGTGTTTCCTCCCCAGCGCCCCGAGGCCCGGAGCAGCAGTACACTGCCACGGCCACACAACTATCGAACACACAGGACGATTCCACCTACCACAGGAGTCCCAAGGTCATCCGGATACGAGCAGCGTGGTAAGGACAGCCCTGCCGTGAAGCCCTCCCGTAAGCTCCTCCTGAGCAACCACTGCACAAGGTGTGCTCCAAACTCTCCTACACCCGCAGCTCCATGCCCATCTACAGCCGCTCTTGACCCTCCAGCCAGGAGGTGTAGACCTAAGAGCAGGAGAGGGGCTGCTGGAGATGTCCCATATCACAGTTGCCACCACCTCCAGCAGCTGAGACCCCAGAGCTGCAAGAGGTCACCCACCACCCAAGGAGAGCACCCCAAGAGCATCCCAGAGCTCTGGGAGAGGTAGGAGCAAAGCTCCACACTGCAGAGCAACACCAACACATTTTTCTAGAGTCCTCCAGTCCCTCTTGACACCACAGGTCCTCGCTCTGCCCCAGACGAGGCAGAGGGTCTCCAAGTAGGGCACAGATGAGACTAAAACACACCCTACAAGGAGACAGACTGAACTGCAGCTGGGCGAGTCTCAACTTTCACAGCCCTCGCTCGAGAAGCACAATTAAGCTTAATTTCTGAAGTAACTGTTTTAAAATTGCTCCTTGCTGCAAGTTGGACAAGTACAGTTGCGTGGCACCACAAGGTCCACCAGAACCATCCAAACCTTTGTGCCAAGCAGCTGAGGTTTAGCAGCATCAAGAGGAAGATGCCACCACCCAGAGTGGGGCACAAGACCTGCCTTGTTTGAGGCCAGCACACCAGAGTCCCATCGCTCCTGCCCCTTTCCTCCCCAGACAGGTTTTACCGCACATTTCCCCACCCTCTGGACTTCAAGCCTAAACCCAAGATGATCCCACCTCCGTTCAGCCTCTGCTCCTCATATTCCAGATGATTTTTGGCTTCCTCCGGAGGCAGGAGGAAGCACTGAGAAGAGAAAAAGAGCAACTCCCTGCTCATAACTGGGCCGAGGCCAAAAGCAGCCAAGAACAGCAAGGACAGGATTGTCCTGCTGAGCCCCGCAGCAAGCCCAGCACTGGCAGTTCAAAGGAAAGCAGCTGCTAAAACCCAGTCTAGCGGGTCGGCCGCCTTCCCCAAGAAGACTTAGATCATGAGACGACTCTCAAAACGAAAAGCCCGCTTCCCAACCCGGAGACCATCCCTTCAGAGGGAACGGGGAGGCCAAATGCACTCCTTATCGAGATGCTGAACATAGGCAGAGATTTTAAACGTGATTAGGGAAACGCTAAGTTGCACTTGGGAGTTTTCCCAAGCTCCGTCTGAAACAGCACCGGGGCTTGTAACTGCGACCATTAAGGTTTAACGGGATAAGCAACAGGAACCCAGAGGGTGTCAGAGAGCTGTATCGCAGATCTGTGATTGTTCTCACCTGCATGAGCCCCAGCTAGGCTTGCACAAAGCAACACAGCAGACAAGTCTGTTGTCTGGAAACGTCAGCTAAAGTACACAGCAAGTGATGTTCTAGCTACAGAGGAAGACTGGAGACTGTTCTCCGAGCAGGAGAGCCAAGGACAGCCTCATAAGTGCTGTTCTGGCTGAGCTCGCCCAGCTTTGCAGCAGCCGAAGTGCCCGGGCATTTGCATTAAAGCACAGAGCAGGAGGGGCAGCACCTCGACCAGCAATTCGCAACCCATCTGCGTCCACTTCAGGAGCCTGATGTGTCTTGAGGCTTGGTAAGAGGGGAGAGGGGTCTCAGGAGGATCTCTCACAGCTGGACCCCAGCTGTATTTTAAACCACATCATTTTAAACAGCACAAACACTTCAGATCTGTCGGTGAGGGGAGCTCAGAAACCGGGCTCCTGTTCTAAGAACAGCAGGTGTCCCCCACACCAGTGCCACGCTGGAAGAGGCAGCGGTTCGCAGCGTGCCAAGCTGTCCCCCGGCACGCCAAACTGCACCACCCTTTGACACCGCGGCAAGGGACCGGGGTAGCCGGCCTTACCCCTGCCAAACCCTTCCAGCGACTGAAGCCCAGCCCTCCCATCTCCTCCCCCTCCACCGGTTCCCCACCATCAGGGCAGCACACCAACCCTGCTCATCCATGAGCACGGCAGACATCTGGGCAGCTGCTGCTGCATTTCCACCACACATCACATCTGCTCATGAACAGCAGCGTGAGTCTGGGGACAAGGGACACGCCAGGAGCAGAGGAGAAGGCGGCAGCACTCGCTGCACCTCCTGGGACTGCAAACTCTGCAGTTACTCTGGAAGAAGGTTTTCGGATTCCTGCACAGGTACGGAGATCAGAGAAAGGGGTTAAATATCCCTCAGCGCAACCTTCTGCAGCACGGCTTTGGAGCAAGGCGTGAAGTGACCAGACACCAGGCCAGTCGGTGGTAGCCGGAGCTTCATCACAAGGAGTCACAGGCCATCCGACAAATTTACTCCTCCTGAAAGGGCTGGGGATCAGGTCTCAGAAAAGAAGAGAGCAACGGGTGGCAGCAGCCTCCAGGAATGCTCTTCCCATGGCTTGCTTTAGCTGGAAGTGCAGACCTAGGCTCCATACAGAGGGTCTGAGTAGACACGTGCTTTCATTAACCTTAAAAACCTCCCAGCAAGCTAAAAATACAGATACTGCATTTACTCAAGTGGCTTAAATCAGTGAAGTCATGGAAGAACCGTTCCTGCATTAATGGAGTCTGACAGGAATGTGGGTAAGGGGCTTGTCAAAGCCGGACAGTTATTCCGGCATGAGCAAGCGGTATAATGAAGGAAGCTCAAGCGACTTGTCCTGTAAGCAGAAACTCACACAGAGCTGTGACTTCCAGCTCAGCCCTTCAATATTTTTTAATATTAAGGCTGAGGGCTCACCCTGTACCCAGCTTCAAGAAGAACCGGCTCTATTTCAGCTATTTAATAACCACCTCGCTTCCCCCCAGAAGCTTCTTGGCTTTCCATTCCCTCCCACAAACACCAGTGCAGAACACGACCCGGCTGCCCAAGTTATCTGGCGCGGAGCGAAGCACGCTTTGGAGTTACAAGCTCAGTTTTGGCAGACATTTCCCAATGATCTGCACGAGAAGGAATTGCTGGACTGGCCAATATCCTCAATATTAACCAGCATTTAAAACCGCGAAGAATTCAGTGCCACAGAGCGGGATCAGCTTTACGAGGAAGATCTGGCAACTGCCGGAGCAGCTGTTGTGAGAGGCCTCAGACTTCACGCAGAAGCGGCTCAATTCACCCCCGGGAAGAGGCGAAGCGAGCCGACGTCAGAGATCTAGGGCATATCCAAGCTGGAAAAGTCAGGAATTTTATGCTAACATCTGATGCCGCCCACAGAGAATTACTCTGGGAAAACCACGCCAGCACTTTGCACTGGCTCACCTGCAGCAGCCTGGCAGCCATCCCACAGAACTGACATGTTGTAAGAGCCGCTGCGACAGAGACCAGCAGGAAAATCCTCTCTACAGGCAAATAATAACCAGGATAGCCGAGAAATCTGCCTCCGTCCTCCCTCCACCCCTTCTCTTTCCAGGAAGGAACATCCAACCTCGCCCGAGGCTCCGCTCTCCAGCTTCGGGCAGGTTCCCACGGCGCAGCTGACTGCACCGGCAAGCGCCAAGGAAGCCGCGCAGCCTCACGGCGCAACTGGAGCCAACACGCTCCGAATCGATCCATCCTTCCTCACAATATTAGTGAGAAATGGATGTTTTATCCCAAGCCTGTTTAAGACACAGCTCTCGACCACAGCCAAAAGCAGGCTGGATATGCTCTGGTCCCGCTGTTGCCACATTCTGGTTGGGATAACCTCATTGGCGTGAGCCACCAAAGTGAGAGCTGGGGAATACAAAGTCCTGGCAGGATTTCCAGGGCTCCAGTTTAACAAGTACGTGCTTTGTCTAAAGCTGGCATTAGCCCCAAAGCAGGGCTGGGATTTTCCCTCTAGTCCTGATCAAACCTGCCCTAATACCCCTTCGGAGGGTAAAGAAACTCAATTGCCCTGTTTCAGCCCGTAGCACTGCTGGCTAAGGGCTGAGCACCTGCCTTCTGGAACAATCCACAGCACGTAAAAAGTGGGAAGAAGAGTTTTTCCCTGCAGCTGGGAACCTCTGCAGCACAGCGGATGAACACGCCTGTCTCTGTAGCCAAATTAACCATGTTTGATA